TCTTTGTGGTTTTGTAAACTTGTCAATCATCTTTCAAGGGTTGTCCCAACTTATCACTGAGTTGATCATTAATGGGGGCAATTTTCACCTGTTTCACACCTTGAACTTGACACTCCGCCAAGGTTTGCAGGCCCTCAACATCAGCAATAATTGTTTCCATAGCATATGGAGCATCATCTGGCACTAAAAGGAGAGTATCCTTCTTTTCAGCAACATGAGGCTGAGGTAGTGAGGGGTGCTCCTTTAGGGCACAAACAGTAGCAATATCCTCTCTAGTTGCAGTTTCCACCATATCAGCCGATGGAATATGTGCTTCTTGAGTAGTTGGACGAAACACTTGAGATTGGGATCTCAAATTAGGTGGAGCTTGAAACATGTTTCAAGTGTGTGTTCAAACATATTACATTGAGTGCAATAGTATGATCTTTGTTCCATGACAATCTATTGTCAGTACCCGTTACAGCGTCAAATTAAATATCTTCAATGTCAGGTAAAGTGATATCTCTCTCAACAAGGATCCTGGCAACAGAAGACCTGATGAGATTAAAAATGAGTATGTCTAATTTCATGGGTCTCCCAAGCATTGCCCCAATGGAATAAATGACCTGATGCTTGAAAAGATGCAATTTAAGCCCAGGTAAGTTAAACCATATTGGTACTGTAGGTGGTTCTTTGTTTGTATCAAATTCAGGAGACCATTTGAACAACTTCATAGTTTTTACTTCAATGGTGAGGTATTTCCTAGAGAAAATCCTAGCATAGTCTTCGTCTGTAGTCAATTGTATCATCACTTGTTTCTCATTAAAGAGACCCACCTCAATTGTATCATCACATGTCTCTCATTAAAGAGACCCACCTTCCATTGTCCTACAAGTTTGAGATCCTAAGAAAAATTGCGAATAACCTCCATTTTGGGATACCCGAACTGAAATTTCCCAATGAGTGTGAATTTGCATTTTTTAATCAGAGTAGAGATTTCGAGATCTGAAAAAATAAGAATGACCTTAACACCCTTCCTACAAGTCCTCTTAACAAACGGACAATTAACTTTCCTTTCAAGAGAATCATGATAGATCTGAGTAAACACCACATGATCGACAACCTTCTCACATTCTAGACCCTTGCTAAGTACGTCAACAAAAGATTCTTTGCCTAGGTACTGATTCGAGGGAGGAACAGTGCCATCAAAAGCAAAAGAGAAAAAATAAAGAATAAATGAGGAGCTGAAGCCGAACTCCAGAAGGATCGCGCTGTTGTCGAGCTGAGTCGAGGAGGAAAACGAAGGAGGAGCCAATCGTGTCCTAGTTGAATGTCGAAGAAACGAAAAACAGGATGACACTGCTGTCGAGTTGAGTCGAGGAGGAAGACCAAGGAGGAGCCGATCGTGTCATAGTTGAGTGTCAAAGAACGACGAACAGGATCACACTGCTGTCTAGCTGAGTTGCGGAGGAAGACGAACACGCAACCCCTTCCCGAATTCCATGAGAGGCAACGAAACTGCTTGATGTGAACCTATACCCTTCTTCAAGCACGAGGAAGCGACGAACATGATAGGTTCTCAACCGTAGGGTATCGGGGGCTACTTGACTCTCTCTCTCTCTCTCTATATATATATATATACGAGAAAAAAAAGCAAGGGAATGGCGTTGGCAGGGGGCTCTGCTAGGGTTTCGCCCGATGAAGATTTCCGGCGCTGAAGCTATCGGATTCACTCATCTGCATAAGCTTGCAAGTCGTCTCTCCAACCCGACGATGTCCTTTTTTGTTCGCTTACTGAAGACGACGATGGCGTCTTCCATTTCGCACGTCGTCTCCTAACCGACAACGCAATTTTCTGCTCGCATTCGCCTCGTCTTGCAGGCGCCCGAAGACGACGAATCACACGTCTCCTAAAAGACGACGCGCCTCGCTCGTCCTGCCCGACAGACGTTGTTCGCACGTATCTCACAGAAGGTCGCGCCTATCTTGCCCGGAAGACGGTTCACATTCTGTTCGCCTCTTTGCAGCCCGCCGCCAGACCATTTCTCTCCTGACGTGACCATCTTGTGAGGGAGATGGTCTCAATGCTCCGTTCCTATGCAAATGCCCTTGTCGGTGACTTGCCCTTTCCTGCTAGTGCCCCTCCTCCAGGTTCAACATCTGGTTTTATTATCGGTAAGTCCTGCAATGTTCCAGAATCTTTCCACGAGGCTCTTGAAGATAGATGTGATCACACTTTTATTAAAAAACATGAAAAAAAATGGGAAGCCTGAACTTATTCTCACAGAGGCTGAAATCAATACTCTTGCGTCCTCTTGGTGTTTTTCTCTAGTGGGGAATTTCTTTATGGTCACCCAAAACTGGAGATCATTAGGAAAGAGTTTGATGCTATAAAACTATTGGGCAGTTGGGACATTGACCTAATTGACGGTAGACATGATTTATTCAACTATCTCATGATGCTGATTATACTAGCATTTTCTCTCGAAAAGCTATCAAGATTGACAATCGTTTTATGAAAATTCCGAAATGGAATGTCGGTTTTGATCCAAAAGCGGAGTTCCCTATCATTCCTGTTTGGATAAAATTTCTGGGGTTAAAATTACATCTGTTCAACATGGAAATCCTCTACTTTTTAGCAACTGCTTACGGGAAACCTCTCAAGGTGGATAGTCTTACGCTTGCTGTCACTAGACCCACTGTGACTTGTGTGTTAGTTGAGAGAGATATCACTAGATATGGATTGACATTATTCACAACGGGTATTGACAAAATGTTGAAATAAAACCACATCCTCCTTATTGCTCTCATTGTAGTATGTTTGGCCACAACTCTACTATTTGCTATCGTTTGCATCCTCATCTAAGGTCGAATATCCCTAAAGAACAACCACCTATTATCCCTGTTGAGAAGATGCAACCCGATCCTCTTGTCAACACCGCAGTTTTTGAGGAATAACAACATACTACAACTACAGATTCAGTTGTGCTTAGACCACCCATTATTATTGAAGAAGACTCACTTATATCCTAAGACACACGATAATGCTCATTTGATCCAATAACAAATTAGCCGATACAACATGTAGATGCTTCTAATGTTCGACAATCTGCACATCTTCAACACACATTAGACCAATATCAGGTGAGCCAATATTTGGAAGAGGAATAACAGGTCTATTCCAGAAGGAAGAAGAAGAATGGAGGCCGACTCCAACTCGGGAACATATTGGATGATGACATTGGTTACTACTGGCAATGACAATCATCTTACCAACTTATTAGTTTGCTCCTTTCCGAGAACCAGAGACAGAGACAAAAACAAATTGGGTTGCTCTCTAGCCACATGATACTATGTATTTCTGCATTTTTAGGCTTTTTCTTTATGTCGTCTCTAATGTATTTTTCAGTATTTACTAGTTTTGGAACCCCTTCTAGTTTAGTGTTGGCAGGGTGTCATGTTTGGGCCCTCCAACACATTGTATCTGTATCTTTCCTTCTAGTTAATATATTAGCCTTTTGGGCTTTCAAAAAAATAAAATAAAATAATAAAATAAAAAATAAAAAATAATAAAAAATAATAAAAAAAAAATAATAACAAAAAAAGAGAAACAAAAGGAGAAGAGAACGAAAAATGTTGTCTCGAAGTTCATGTTGGTACGTTTTTTTATTATTGTCAGACTCGTCATCTTAGTTAACACTACAATGCAAGAGATAAGCATATGTGTGTGTCATTGCAACACAGCCGAAAAAAATTGCAAAAACTAAATACCCACACACTTTCTAATTCGACAGGAAAAAAAATTATAAATTAGGTACTCATGTGCTATGTTCCAACGCGGTGAAAATCTGTGCTCTTGTTTCTCTTATACAATTATTCGAAGGCTTATGCAAGCATTGCCAAGTGTGGTAGATTAGAAGACCCTCCACCCAAACTCATCGTCTCATGTAAAGGTATATTGCAAAAGATATGCACTCGTGCGCAATGCAACGCGGTTGAAAACAATTGTAAAAATTCAATTACAGGTGCAAGATTTTCTAACGAAGCGGGAAAAACCTACAAATCAAATAAATGTGCTCTATATTCCAACACAATGAGAAAATTTATACACGTGTTCCTCTCATGTATGTACTCAAAAGTCTATATGTTCTTTGTTAAGTGCAGTAGGTTAAAAGACAATGAAATCTTTGACCATGGGGTCTCATCGCACCAATCATGTACACCTTATTAAACGTGATGATAAGACCTAGCACTCCAGATGACCCCCCTTGTGCGAGAGACATGTTAGAATGCTACAAAAATTTCTGGTAAACGAACTTGCAACAAACAAAATTCAAACAAATATCTGAACTTCATAATGTAATAAAAAATAAATAAATAAAATAGCAAAATAAGATCAAAATAAAACACTTTTAAGTTCGATATTAAAATAAAATATAATAACAAAATTAACTCAAACAAATCATCATTTGCACCTAATCTCATGTCGATAATTGACTGTTATCAAAAACAATAATTAACTATTGAAGCTTATGCTTATTAGAAACCTTGAACAAAAATAAAAAAGTTCTCACAAAATGAGGGTTAAATCATTAAGTGGTGTCATCTCTGCAGATTAATTTTCCATTTAAAAAGTTGACCTAGAATAATAAAAGTTAATTTGACATAGAATAACAAAACTCATCTCAAAAAGATATGCAGGGACTCAAATTTTTGGAGCCCATAATAATAAATTCAATCTTGTTTCTAAATATTTAACCCAAAAAAAAAAAAACTCACTCGAAAGAGTGGGAAACAATTTATCGTAGCCTACAATAATGTTAAAACTACCGTATTTCTTATATATCTAAACTATTGTCATTCAGAATCAGTAAAATTGTTTTTCCTTTCAAATAGACAGCACATCCCATGAGGTTCATCTGATTGAGAAATATTTGATCTGATTCTAAATCTAAAAGATGGGTAATAATCGGAAAAATAAAAAATAAAAACATAGTTTTACTCATCATCAGCATAGTTACCTCAATATTTTGCTCATCTCTATCCATGATTTCTTGGAACAACTGTTGATTCTCAATTTGCTGACCCTCAAATGATCCCCTAATACTCTGCAGCAAATGAAAACTAGATGATAAATTCAATGGATACACACGAAAAAGTTTTGAATAACACATTAGACTGGCATCATAAAATCATAAAAGTAACCTCAATCTCAGAGAGATAGGATTCACAGTCATCATGCTTTGAGTTCAGCTTCTCTGATGACTCCGCCTTTTGCCTGTGTTTAATAACGTAGTACAAGAAAAATAATATCCACAGATCACCCTCATCAAGAAACAAAGGCACAGCATAGAGCGACAAAAATATCGTGTTTCCAAAAGGCGTAAATTTGGAAGCCCATATCTCTATACCTTTCAGACATTTCCAAGTTTCGTCTTATATCAGCAATCTCAGCTTTGGCAGTTACAAGTCTCTGTTGTGTTAATGCCTCAGGTTCAAGAACAGTTCTTACTTGAGACTTCAAATTATGCTCGTCAAGGGAAGATTTAAGGCTTTGGACCTCAGCCCACGCCTTCCTCTCTATGTCTCGAGACTCCATAACATCCCTAAAAAGTGAAAAAAAAATTAACTGGATGAATAACACTACGCAATGTCTTAGAAATGTTGTGATACCAAAATTTAACAAACACTAAATGAAAAACAAATATTAGTACTGAATTCAAAATCTGAAATTAGTACAAACAACAGGAAAATCTGAAGTTGCAACAGCACAACAACACGACGCTGGAACTAGAGTTGGAGCTAGGGTGAACATGGTGCTGATGGGGTTATTTAGCAGCAGGCGATAGGATTTGACAGGGTGACAGCAAGCTGGAACAGTAGGTTTGTCGTTTCTAGGTGAACAACCAGTAGAATGACAAGGAGAATGGCAGGAAATTGCTGGTTCTAGAGCCGGATGGCAGCAGGGTTAAGGGAAAACAACAGGTTTGCTCTTTTTCTGGGTCAAGGCAGCAAGGGGAAACCGACGAGGGTAAAGGGAATCAATGCAGAAGATAGTGGAAGAGGAGTAGAAGAGAATACACACCACCTTAGGAACGAGATACAATAGGAGAACCACTCGGAACCCTTGGATACAACCATAGAAAGGGATAGAGGAGCCGATGGCTCTACAAACAATTAAATAGACCTACTGTTATAAGGAGCGAGCCCCACTCTAATTGGGCGGTAACCTTAGGCCTAGAGAGGGCCAACCAGCCCTCCCTCAACCCAAACTGAACCGATCCAGATCTTTGTTCAACCCTTGCATCAATCTACCGTGGTTGCTGGAGCTTCGACCTCATCTCTTAAAGCTTCTGATTTCTCATGATATGGAGTCAGTCGGCAATGTTGAAAATGACAGAGCTGTCGTAACTTCCTGGGATTGGAGGGCCTTCGATTACACCTCTAGAAACACCTGGATCCCATTTTCGTATACACTATCCTACAAAAACCTAAGAAGAGTTCTCGAATTACGAGTAATAATCTCTATCTGTCTAACCATTTGGGGGTACATTGTTAATTAAACTGGAACTTCGTGCCAAGTGTACTACACATAGTCTTTCAAATGTAGCTCATGGCTGGATCATTTCTCTCTAAAGTGAAGATATACTAAACCTCCCCTAACGGTGGCAGCCTTGAAGGTAAGTTGTTGGTTCGGATATCTTGAAACTCTCTCCATGGTGGCAGCCAAGAGCACCTATATATTACGACTTCATAGAAGGTAAGAGACCTATGTGCTTTCCATCATTAGTAAATAAGTAAGCGTTCTTAAACCTATCATGCTGAGTCTTATAATCAAACAACCACGATTTCCCCAACAGGACGTGACATGCATCTATGAGTACATCACCATAACTGATCATGTAACTGATCCCTAATAGAAAATTCTACGACACATCTCCAGTCATTGCTAATCTTGTTCTCCTTCTTCAACCAAGATAGAGAATATGTCTGGAAATGTGTCTAAGTAGTGAACACTATCTTGTAGACACCACATTATCACAACTGCCCCCATCAATGATAAGATTGCACACATTTTCCTTCAAAGTGCAATGAGTATAAAAGTTGTTGTGCCGAAGCCACTTCTGCTCTATTGTAGCCTCAGCTTGTAGAACTCGCAGAACCACAAGTATCTCGCTTTCATTAGTTGGAAGTTGGTACTCTTGCATATCCTAACATCTTATATGTCTACAGTACAATTATCCATTTCTACTGTTCCCTACTCAATGAAAGAGACAACCATGGAAGTAGGAAAATTGGAGGCAATATGTCCAAACCTATTACATCTAAAGTGCTTCTTTGCGAACATTGTGTTCGGTGTACTGTTTCTTTAGGGCTTCTTCTTTGACCAGCTCTATCATCTTTTTGAAAAGTTTTCACGTCTTCCTCGGGTGTAATCATAATGGCTCCTTCTACTGTGGGTGACTGTTTGAATGAAGGCGGGATTCTGATATGCTATTGCTATTTTTTCAACTTCAATACCAATGGTTGAACATCACACAATGATAGTAAGGCCACAACTAAAAAACATGGCCGATGAGTAACTTTAGGCCTCCCAAATACTTGGTTATCTTCTCCCAAATAGTGATCTTGTTCCTACATATTCTCTGTCTCACTCTCTTCATATTCTCTCACAACAAAGAGATACTTTTCTGCAGCTTTATGGCAGCAAGTTTCACCCTCCTATTAGTTGGTAACTCCTTACATTAAGAAAATCTCTCAACAGTCTGCAGTCAATGAAATCATTCAGATTTATCCTTCCCTCGAAATCCGATATGTTTACCTTCACCCCCATGTCTTCAAGTCCTCCAAAAGTCACCCCATCCCTTAGCCTCCTTTGATACTGAGTCTCAAATATTCATGGTCTATCCTCCTCTTCACTAGAATCATTTCCACGAAAACAATTCAAATTTTCCACCCTTTCTCTTCTTCAAATCCCACTATCGTGACAACAATCATCTCTCCATGGGTTTCTTTCTCAATTTCACCAAGTCATTGCTGAAGTCGGTGGATTTCCCACTACATCTCTTCCATGGTTAAGTTCTCAATTAGCTCTTGACACTTGTCTCCTCAATGGTATGACTAGGGTTTAGATTTGGGAGGTGAAAGAACATGTATGGGACTAATTTAGAGTGCAAAAAAAAAAAAAAAAAGAAAAAGAATTGATGATTTTTGAAATCAACAAGGGAGAATTAAGGCTAGGTTAAGATTTAGCTATGATTTGGAGGGCTTAGGTCACCCTAAGATAGAACTAGAGTTGGGCTAGCTCTGATTCTAAATGATACTAAAATTTAACAAAAACCTAAGGGAAAAAAAATACGATTACTGAATTCAAAGTCTGAAATTTTAACAATCAACAAGAAACTATGAAATTGCAACAAAACCACTCAACATTATAACTAGGACTGCATCTAGGGTGTATGTGGTGTCGAGGGGGTTGTTTAACAACAAATGATGGGATTCGACAAGGTAACAACAAGCTGAATAGTAGGTCTATCTTTTCCATTTGAATGACCAGTAGGATGATAGGGAGAATGGCAGGAAACTGTTGGTTCTGGAGCTATATGACAACAGGGTTGAGGAGAAATAACTTTGTAATTTTTTTGTGTGGCGACAACAAGGGGAAAACGACAAAGGGGAAGAGAATCGATGCAAGAGAGAGTGGGAGAAGAGTGAAAGGGGATATACATCATCCTAAGAATGCAATACACTCGGAGCGCCACTTAGAACCCTTAGAAACATCTCTAGAAAGAGAAAAGAGGAGCCAATAACTCTACAAACTCAAAATCAATAAAAAAATTAAACCCTAAACACCAAAGATACACTTAAAACCTACTAGTATTGGAAGTGGGACCCACTCAAATTGGGTGGCACCCTTAGGCCTTGAGAGGTCCAATCTACCCTCCCTTGACCAAGATCTGGACTGCACCCAACTGGTCTAAGGTCCCGCCCAGCCCCGCATCAAGCTGACACATCAAGCATATAGATGCATGCCAAGTTCTTCATTAAAGCAAGGAGCTATGAGAAAAAAAGAATTTATAAAAATCAAAAGCACTTTCAATGGCAAGTCAAAAGGTAAGATAAAAAAACATGAGAAAAAAAACCCCACCTGCTCCCGCAAAAAGGATCCGATATCTATTCCCGCCCATTCTCCGTTACAAACCCGCACGAATCCAGTTAGCACGACATACGCAAGACTGACACACATCTTCTCGTTGTTTGAGCGTCTCAGACCAGAACCCCGTTCGGTTGTACTTTCTTCATTCCCCCTCTCGTGACCAAAAGTAGCGCGATACAGTCGCTATTAAAGCTAATCCGTAAAGCAACGACATGATAGCGGCGACCCGACCCGATCTACATTATTTATCCTTATTGTCGTGTTATAGGAATATTCCCTCACGTTATTCTGAATATTTTTTCACGTTTTTCATGTGTTATTGGTGTGTTATTGAGGTGATTTTGAGATGTTATTGTCTTTTAAACAACAATACCAACTTAAAATCACCTACATAACACATGAATAACACATAAGTAAAAGTTTTCATCTTATCATTGAATTGTAGCGCATAAATAATACATCAATAACACATGAATAACATACCAATAACACATTAAAAATAACAACTGAGGTGATTTTGAGATGTTATTGTTCTTTAAGCAATAATACCAACTCAAAATCAACTCCATAACACATGAATATCACATTAGTAAAAATTTTCATCTTGTCATTGAATTTTATCATATGATTAACACATGAATAACACACCAATAACACACCAATAACACATTAAAAAGTGTGACTGCGATGATTTTGAGATGTTATTATTTTTTAAAAAATAATACCAACTCAAAATCACTTCCATAACACATTAATAACACTCCAATAAAAGTTTTATCTTGTCATTTATTTGAATCACCTCAATAACACACTAATAACACATGAATAACGCAGAAAATATTTGGAATTATGCAAGAGAATATTCCTATAAAGCATCGGTCCGACCGGGTTGCGCAGTTTTGTTTTTTTTTTATTTTTATGTAAGTGGGTTGGCCTTTCACGTGTCAACTCAAGATTGGACTTCGCAAGCAGCTCTGCATGCGGAGTCCGAATGCAATATTTTTTCTTGGCACGCCCATTTTGGTGATATAGTCACAATCAGAGCTAAAGGGAAGCCAACACCAGAATAATGGCATATTGGGGGCCCCAAAGCTCTTATTTTTATCTCTTTCTATTCTATTGTCCTCCCTAGACAAAAATTCCCTCTTTCTCCTCTTCATTCGAGCCTTCACCCGATCATATTGGACGTTAAAGCCGCGAAAATCTTCCTCTTGTTGTCCCGAGCAAAGCTCGAACCGTGTGAGTGTTCCTGTAATATTGGATTGAAACCCTTCATCCATATCCCCTCCTCGGTAAAGGTACTAAAAAAAACAACATTTTTGAAATTTAAGTTGTGCTACTTTTTGCAGGTTAGCAAAAGTCCTCACGCATTTTACAGACGAAATGAGATAGAATACTTTTTTATAGCTACAATGTCTCACATCATTAACCACACTTGTCTCATAGATCTGTGAATTATATTTGAGTTGTGAATTATAAGGGTAAACTTGATTGTCACAAAGTCTTATGTTAGTTAAGGTCAACTTAAATTTTATCTCCTTAGACAAACATTCACTCAGATCTACAAAGATCCCTTAGACGATGCAATGATTGGTTGCTGAAAAGAATCATTCTGTAGAGTTAGGTCAACTATCTTCTTTGACTAAATAAATCAGGAACCACGACAATCCGAGATGATGGAAGAGTAAAATATTGATGGATTCGTCATCACTTTTCCCATCATTACTTTAAGCTTAAGATGATAACCATATAATAAAATTTAAGTGTGTTTTCGAATATGTTGAATATTAAATGTTTAATGAATTGCCTTAATTGAAAGTGTTATTTCATTATTAGGAAGGATAATTAACAATATGGGCTTGCATTTATGAGAAACCTCAAACCCTATATGAATAAGTCCTTAGAAAATGAGGGTGAAATCTCTGAGTAGTGTTTTATCTACAATACAAAATGCCTTCTTAAAATTTAACCCAAAATACCAAACACAAAGCACTCTCAATGAGAGAGTCCAAAACACAATTTTTGGAGCCCACAATACACAACTAAATTAATTAAATAAATAAAATAGTGATAATAATAATCAAATCAATCATCTGTTATTTTCTATCATAAAATATAGATATCAAATAAGGAAAATAAAAAAAAAATTTGAATCATAGTTCTAAAATTCTGAAGACATGCTTTATAGAATTCTTTCATATCCTTTCACTTAGAATAGTGAAACAAAATGAGCACGAAAACTTAGAATTTTAGATTATTCACACATGAATATTCAAGAGATCTTGGAGAGCAAGGAAAGTAAAATATTCTCTTCTCCAAGCACCATGCATCCACTTCTAAATGGTTCTTTGGTAATATGAAAGAGCACCAACTCATTTATAAAATTTCAAACCAATCAAATTCAGAAATACAAGTCAGACTACATATAAAGAAAAAAGAATTTAATGCTTTCTAAGAAGAAAAAACAAACACTCCAACTTTTAAATGGCATTAAAATTAGGATTAAATTCCTACCAAGATTCTGTGGATTCAAGTTGATGCATCTCCAAAAAAAGCTTTAGCTCTAGCTTGGTCTTTCTTAAATCTTCAACCTAAAATATGAAATAGATAATTATGTTAGCATCTTTACCGTGGAAGAGCATGTGCTTCTTAGACAAAGTACTGCAATTAAATAACATTTAAACAAATCTTATACATTTTAAATAAACATGAGGAAGAGCGTTAAGGGAAGTATCTATTCAAACCATATAAAAAAATAAAAAAATAAAAAAAAAAACTAAAAGAAAAACGTGAAAGACATCAATGGTGCTATATTAAAAATAGACTGCTTTTTTTCGATAAGCCCCTGAAAAGCAAGTCTGACATCCATTTAAAGCAATAAGCAATACGCATAACCACCTACAAACCTTATTTAAAAAAAAAAAACATTCTACATTTATTCACCACCAAATGGCTTCACCATAAGGCATTTCCTACAATATTGCTAATATACCTTCTTATCATCATTGTTTTTTAACGAGATCAATTACACATGGAATTGGATCACATAATTTGCCTAGCACATAAAATATTTTCCAACAAATTACAATTCAAACCCAAAACAAAAATAACAAAAAAATGATAAAAAATATACAAAAATAAACACCAAAGAAAGATTCATCCTTCAAACCCATTTGCCTTTCAGAAGTTATTTTTGCACCATAACTGAGTACCTGAATGAAGACTATTATAAATAAGTTGCTCTTCAATGTCGGAAGATCTCATAAAGCTATTTTTTATATCCTGAAGTAATTATTAAGAAAAAAGAGGAAAAGAAATATTCAAAATATTTAAGTTGATCAGTGGATGATCGAATATTATGAGTTCATTTGGCATGCACAATAGAGAAATCTAAGATATATTAGGGTAATTAATGATATGCATGATGGCATATTGACCACAAATATGAATGATGGAATATTTGTGAATTAACTAAAGAGTTTCAATTTGGTATGCATTAATAGAAAAATCTAAGATATAGTAAGATATGGATGGTGTCATATGGACTGAATTAGGACTACTTGTGGATTAACTTGAGAGTTTCAAATCACATCAAAATAACATTCTATAAATTATTAACATTAAGGTTTTTCTATTTTTGCATTATGGAAGATTTACCAGGTGTGTTAAACATTAGATTTCATGATATAAATTATTTAGAAATAATGTGTTAGATAGTTGAGACAATTGCAGAAAAAAATGAACAAATTCTAAATATGGTGAAAAGTTTAGTCGATACTGGTCATTGGATTAAAAATCTAATATGTAATATGTAAATATAGTGCACATGAAATTTTTTAAGTTAACAATTTTTGAAGATCAGCTGACACCCAAGTGTGATAGAATTATGTATACTAGGTATATTATACACAAAAATAAAACATAAATGAGACTTCACATTTCAAATTAAGATTGGGTGGCTAAAAAAATGAATAAATTAGAAACTAAAAATAATGATGAGAAAAGAATATCGCAAGTAAGAAAAAAATTGGTATAAAATTATAATTAGATCGATTATGCAAAATGAATTTAAGAGTTGGGTAATAGAAAAGTAGTTAATAGCTAAAATAAGGTTATATTTAGTATTATTGTATTATGTTGTATCGTGATGTGTTGATTGTTGGCAAGATTATTGCCTTCAAAGCCATAAAAGATACAGTTTTTTATAAAAAATTTATTACAAAACTAATATGAGTGTTAGAATGATTAAGAAATTATAAATTCCACGATTTTAAAAATTGGAATGGAATGATTGATCCAACCAATTCTACCATAAGTCAGTCCCCCAACTGATTAAATATAGGCCTGTCGGCCGTTTTTATGTTCAACTTCACTTTCGTAGTTTGAAAAGGTGATGATTTTGTGATTTTGAAAATAATTTAAATACAAATATAACTTTTTTAAAGAAGTAACGTTTAAAGAAGTAACGTTTTTAATTGTTTTTTTAATTTTTAAAATAAGTAAGATCAAACGAGTCTCACATTTTCAGATAGTTTAGATGATTTAACACAATACTACAAGCAATACACTTATCCCGAAGAATAAATATATTACTTGTAATAGGGATTTAATCATCTAGACTAAACAATTTGTGACATCCGTTTTGATCTGCGAAATATTTTATAAAAAGGCCAACAAGTTCCCCTATCTAACATAAAAATTAGATAGGGTTTATTTTATCTGGGTTCCTGGTTCCCTATAGAGGCAAGCCCCTATAGTTAATTACATCTTAAATGATCGAAATCACTTAAGATAACTCTCGATTAAGATCAGGTGGTTTTGCTTTCAAGATTTCAAAGTTTAGGTTTTCACGATTGGACATAAGAAAGTCAAATGGGAATGACTCAAAATAGGAACAATTATTTAAGGAATCCAAAGGGAAGAAAAGTAGGGGACATCACAGATCCAGGAGAAACCCCAGAGATGTCCCAACTATCATATTGTTCGGCTTTAT